GAATGACTGTAAACATCATATAAGGCACATATGAAAATTTTGAAAAACTGTCAAAATTAATGGAATTTTGAGCATAAATTATGCTAATTAGGCCATGCCCACTTTTAATCATATAAATTGAATTATCAAAAATTTTCTCAACCAAATAAATAAATAAATAAATAAATAAATAAATAAATAAATAAATAAATAAAATGCAGGACACATTTAGAGCCATTGTGTATTTCATTAAAAATAATATGTATTGCTTGAGTTTCATCAGGTGAAAAAAAAAAAAAAAACAGCTTAAGAAAAGTTATGTTTTCAGTACACAGCTGGAAACACTAATTTACCACAGAAACACGTATCAAACTAACAACATGTCTTTATCCATGCTCTCAAAATATTAAAGCATTGTGAATAGGGCCTACTTCGTAGAAAGGTAAAAAGTCATGAATATATATGCTGCATATTACCAAATCTATTTAAGGTTATTTCATGCATTCTGTTGGTATAGAAACCAATAAAACAAATATCAAATAAATAGCGTGTCTTTATTTGTACTCTCAGAAAATTAAAGCATTGTAAACACTTCACAGAATTGTTAAAAAAATTAAGCAAAGATAGGCCTATGCTTCCTACTACTAAGGTAATNGGGGGGGGTTGGGTTTTTTTTTTTTTTTTTTTTTTTTTTTTGGAGAACAGACGAAAATCGATGCGCGCGCAGGATGTCATCCATAAAATTAAAAAAGTGTGGCCTTAGGCCTAAGAAAAAAAGTTGTTTGTTTCCTGTTACATGGTAAAGAAAAATTAGGGTAGGTCGGTAGGGATAACATTTTATTTTATTTTATTTTTTTACTCTCTCAAATCACAGGGTAGGCTACTTCTTATTTTATTTTATTCAATGTTCCTATGTATCTTATCTGGTATTTGACATATATGAAATAAAACAATATATTATCTCTGCCAAGAAACTAACACACTATGTGATATTTTATAGCTCCAATATTATTGATGAATATTCCAATATGGCATTGCATTGAATACTGTACAGGAATTAATTTGACAAATGACTAGATCTACTTAGTAACACACTGAATTTCCGCCAAACTTTCGTAGTGAATTTCAAATACCATTATAGTTACTATTAAAACAAGAGCTGTCAGAAAGGACAGCAAAGCTCGCAGGGTATATATAAATTTGTTAGCATGTAAATAACTTGAAGTATATAAATACTACTTAAATGATACTCGTAATTCTAGAGATATAACACCTTAACGCAATTTAAAAAACACACAATTCTACAATATTGCAGATGAGTGACTCCCAGCTAATTATTTCAGCTTATATATTTCTCACTTACCATTATATTAAATATAAAAGCAATATTCAGTCAGTACTTACGTGCATACATATTTGTCAAGAGAGAAATAAATACTATTGTAGTCGGAGGATGAAGCAAAGATTATTTAAAATTCTCATTATAAAGTAGCAGTAAAATAAAAAAAGCTACCGAAAAGGAGGCTATATATGGGGGTCGGTCGGAAGCCAAAACTTTTTTTTTGCTAGTGGCTTTAAAATGTTATGGGTCGGGTACTTTTTCATAGGGATGGTCGGGTAACAGGAAACAAACAATTTTTTTTCTTAGGCCTTATTTCATCATGTTATGTGTTGTGTATAAGTAGGTCAGCTTATGACGTCACC